CCTGGCCTCAGCAGCAATTAGTGCTACACTTACGAGTTGTTTTTTAATTTAATTCCCCTGATTTATTTCATCTAAAGGCATAAGGAGGAGAGCCATGTTTGATCCATGTGGACATTGAAGTGCAGGAGATGAAGAATTAAAGTGATATTTTAATGTTAGTTGCAAAAAATTTTATGTTTTTGATCAAATTCTTATTTTAAAGCCTAAAATTATATGACATTGATACATTCATGATCTAACATTTAAAAAACCTTAATAAAAATGACTTAAATTAGCAATTTGCAGTTTTTAAAACACACAAATAATTTTTTCAACAATAATATTGTTTTAAAAACATACATTTTTAAACATTACTTAGAAAATGTTTAAACACTTTTAAATAATGTTTTTAATGTTTAATAAACATTAATAGCAGTTAGCTAATGTTATCAATGTTTATTAAACATGAATAATGCTTTTTAAACATAATTATTGGTTTAAAACATTTAATTATTATTAGTGTTTTTTAAACAGTTCTTTCAACTTCAAAAAATATCAGATATGCATTTTTTTATGCATTAATGTTTATGTATGATCAGTTCTCTTTAATTTGCATCAATAAAAGTAGAGTTTGAGTCAAGCTATTAAAATTTAACCGTGTTGTTTAATATTATTGTCTCTTTTCCTCAATATTTAAAAGCAGTGAATATTTTAATGCATCCGTCTATTAAAAATATTAAAGTGGGCCAACAAATAAAACTAAAAATACAGCCTGATGCAAAACAAAGTGTATTTTCTTTTGTTCTGTAACAGCCACTAGTGCCAATAAAAACTTAAAAAACAGAAAATATTTCTCTATTAGTGTTTTCTAACTGTAAACCTTCTGCATTTTACCTCTTTTTAAAATATCAAGGTTTATTCAACTGGAAGCAGCATTTTTTTAAATAATTGCTTTGATGGATAAAAAAAACAAAATCCAGAGGAGCTGAGAGTAAAAATCGTTCTCATTTTGTGATTTGCAGGTGAATTTGCGCTGCAGAGTTGCAGCTCAGCTGGTGCCGTGCTGAATGCGTCCATCTTTCTCCCAGGAGCTTTTAATGATATGTGACGTCGTGATGTTTACTCACGTCTGCAAAAGCTTGATAAGATTTCCAGTCAGCAAGCTGAGCTTAAAACACCATCATGCATAATGTCGCTTCAACTCAAGTCAAAGTGTTTCTAAAGCACTTCAGCTGAAGAGTATGGAAGCCCATCTCTGCCATGAAAGCGGCAACTTTTAAAGTCATAATTATGGACTTAAAAGTCATAATTTTAACTTTAAAAGTCATAATTTTGAGCATAAATCAAAATGTTAGGCTTATAGGTCATTATTTTGAGTTTAAGTCAAAATTTTGAGCCTAAAAGTTGTAACTTGACTTTCAAAGTCATAATTTTAAGCTTGAAGGTAATAATTTTGATTTTTTGTCAAAATGTTAGATTTCTAAGTCATCGTTTTGAGCTTCAATATCATCATTTTGACTTCCAAAGTAAATTATGAGGTAGAAATGCACACCTTTTCTGTAAGGAGGAATCTCATTATAATGATTTTGGATCTCATAATTACGACTCTGAAAGTCAGAATTATATGATCTTTACACATTTTTGCAATTTAAATCAAGTTCACGTTGATCAAAAACTGTTTTCAATTGATCAAAAATCACAGATTTTTGTGATTTGTGGCCTACTATGATCAAATTTATTAAACGTCATGCAAAGTGGGGCTTTGAGTGTTTGGTATGTTTCTGTGAGGAGAGCTCTTGCTTGCTGGTCTGACAGCGTGGTGCGCGTCTGTAAAAAGGTCCTCACCGGTGGCCATGCAGGCGTCCCGATGGCAATTAGCTTGTCACAGTGTGCCTGATTGACAGCTGTCACAGCTGGGATGCTAACCGCTATGAGCGGAGCCGCAGGGGGAGCCCGGGGTGCAACCACACCACCTGCAACAATCTGTGGGTGTTTCTCAGACACGTGACTGTCACGCAGAGTTAATGAGATGGGTCGTATTCGCTTATCTCTGCAGGTAATGAAGATGTCAGCTCTGTAACAGACACTGATTTGTTTTTATCATTAGAAAAGCCGTCAGCAGCTGACGGAGTAGTCGCCTTATCAGAAACAGCAGCTGAAGATCCTGTAACCGTTTACTGCACAGCTCATTATTTCTCAGTGATTTGGTGCATTTTTTGCCTCCAGCTTGTTGTGAAAACAGCAACACGATTAACTCCTGCTAATGTAGAGTAGCATCATTCCTGCACACACAGCTGAGCATGAGCTTTAGTTTAAAATGGTGAATAGTTTCAAGACTTTTTATGGATCTGTTTGCTATAGTTTCTATTGCAAATATCTTGTTACACTTAAAATAAGACAAACTAACTGGCAAGTAACATTTCGTGAAGATATCGGGACTCGTTTTAAGTAAATGATTCCTTAATATTGATGAAAGTAGTTGTTCCAAATTCAAATTTATTTCTAAAAAGGCTTTTTGCTATAAGTTAATTTATCTGCCAATAGAACAAGAACTTTTTCATCAATATTAAGGAATTATTTACTTAAAACAACCTCATATTTCTTGCTGAAAAGTTACTTTTCAGTTAGTCTTATTTTAAGTGTCCTAAGGTATTTGCACTAGAAACTTGATAAAAGAAACTATTTAATATGTTGTGTTTTTCCAGTGTATTTGATGAGCTGTTGAAATATCTCTGGCTCACGGCTGAGATCATGTGACTGATGGCAGGTGGGCTGCTTCGCCGTTCGCCAAACTCCTCAACCTTTCATCTGTCTCTGGACTGGGACGAACGGCCAGAGCTATTCCTGGCTCTCCTGTCACACATGCTGAAAATATGCAAACACACACACAAATACACCTGTCTCTGGTCATTTCTTCTCAAGTCTTCATGAGGTGGGCATATTAACAATGGCAGCCGGCTGCTGCAGCGAGCACCAGCTGTCCCGGGGAGACGGCCGCAGGGCGATCAGAGAGAAAACCAGGTTCCTGGTTCCTGCACCGCAGCTTCAACCTGGAGGATTTTAATGAAGGTATCTGCAGCGTTGGAGACTAAATAAGAAGGAAATACTTTACAGGCACATCCTTTATCTCTGATACCCACATCGGACTTCAGTAAGTCCGTAAATCCACTTGGTTTGGTTTCAGAGATCGAAGCTTGGCGTCACTGGTGGATAATTTCTGCCAGTTTACATCAACAAACTTAAAAAAGTCCTATCTGAAGCTTCATCATCTGCCTGGGTGTGGAGTTTGGAGGGAAACCCAGGATACTTTCTAAATAATTTACTCAAAATGGTCCAGTTAAAGTCTGAACAGACACAGACATTAGCCTGGTCCTGTGACAGAGAAACAAGAAAATCAGAAGAAAAGATTGTTGATATTAACAGTTGGAATAAGAACTGAGCCATCCATCCATATTGGCTTACCAATCAAAAATCACTTGCTACATTGTTGTTGGTTGTGCAGGAAGCTCCACTTCTGCTTTTCAAAGATGTACAATAGAATAATTGTGCATCTGTTTGCAGCCATTTTCACCCCCCTGTGTAAACGTTGAGTTGGGGAAGTCGCTGTCGCCAGCAGTCATTAAATGGCTCAAAATAGGCAGAACTGAGGAGTCTGAAATCTCATTTTCTAATCATTATCTTGTGGAATAAAATGTGCTGAACGTGTTTTGTGTAGACCACCTGCCTTAACCTGTTCTAGGACGTATACTAGGCCAAACTAACATTCCCTGAAAACAGTCAAATATGAGACAGAAAGCTGAAAAACTAGTGATGGAAAAACGTTTACGAACCAGGAAGTTCAGGGATAACTGAAGATTATGTGGAAAATATACTGTTCACATAAAATGAAGGTATTATTAACAGTTTAAGCCTCATGAACAACTTCAGTGGAGTCAATTTACAGAACTTGTTCATTAAATACCGACTTGATAATTACTTTGGGTCTTTGAGTCTCGGCAGGCTCCGTCAGAGAGCTCTGCAGAGTGAAAAAGGTTTCCCGAAACCACCAAGGAGCTTGACGAACTGTCAAAAATAGCAGCAGACCTCCAGAGTTTGGTCCACTGCTGCGTTTACACCCCTCTGGGGAGTCTCTCTCAGTCAGGTCACAAACACTTTGCGGCGCTTCAAGTGTTGGTGGAAGTACCAGAGCTATTTTGATTCCTGCATTGTTTCTTAGAGATTATATCATATTATTACTCCTCCTTTATCTCCAAAGTCATTTGTAAAAAAGGCTAATCAGAAAATTAAGAGAGACGCACACACTAGACACCAGAAAAGTCACATTTATTGTAATAAATTAGGCATAAAAGTCTGAACTTCTCCAATACTGAACATTTTTCTTCAGTTTGTTCCAAATTGAATGAAAAGTATTTTGCTAATTTAATACTAAAAAATTAGAAGAGTGTAGAATTATAACGTCTTCAGTATTGTTTTATTAAATTAAAATTCAATTGATTAACTAATCACGTCCGTTGAGGGTTGTAGTTTGGCCGCCATCCAGCAGAGGGCAGCGATGGTCATCCAGGCGCTGATACACAAACAAAGATGGTGGCCGAACCAAAACAGAGTCCTGTGCACTTTATGCGGTTCTACTTTGAAATATAAACACCTAATAAGCTGCTTAAGTTTTACTTTAAAATTTGAGTGGTGAAGAATCAGAAATTACTGATTTGCCACAAAGGAGAGGCTGATGTGACAGAAAATCAGAGGAAATGACGCAAAACATTTTAACATAATGTCAATAAAAAAGATTGATATGCAGTTATATTTTACACAAAAAAATCATGTTAGAATTCAATATATTATGTAAAATACACGGTTTCTCTGCTGATAAAGCAACACACTAAAGAAAATGGCCGCTTCTCAGTTAATCGTTGAGCTCAATCAATGCTAAATCCACCCATTAATCAATAACTTGTTATATTAATTTTTAAAAGTTGTGTTACAGTTGATGCACGGTGTATGTGCTCTTCTGTTCACAGTGCCTGCCGCTGCGTGGTCATGGGTTTGTCCTGGATAAATACCAGTGCCAGTGTAAGAAGGGATTCTACCACCCCAACAGAGTGGCAGTCAATGGCTTCACAAGTAAGTTATACAAAATCTATGCTGATTTCTGCGTAGTAGCATTGTTCATGTGTTTGATTTGAATGGCAGAGTCTAGTTGAGTTTATCTGAGTGAGATAATATCAATAAAATGTTTGTAATTCAGCACAGTTGCAGTATATTCAGCGGTGCAATATGCGCCACTACTTAAATACAGAGTTGGTGCCCTCTGTAGTCTGGAAATACGGTAATTAGCAGTAAATGCATTTTCAGCATCTTTACATACATATAAGCATGTTTAGCAAAGTAGTTTCATACTGTAAGTTGTCAGAGTTGAGTTTTTATTTCTGAATAAAAACGGTCATTTCTGCAGTTCCTTTAGCATCAATCTGATGTCGTTGCACAAAGATGCTATAAGTTATGTCTGTTTACGTGATTCCCTTGCAAGCAGTTAGGCAGCTGTGAGGTATTTTTAAAAAAAATATGGCTGAAGATTGAACAGTAAGGCCATTTTCCCCTTCATTAAAGTTTATGATGAGCATTTATCTTCTCAGTCTGGAAATGGACGCAGCCTCGCCACCTTGGGAGGCTAATCCAGTTCGAGATGGGAAATATCTTTTTAATGATAGTTTCTATCTGCAGTTTATTCTGTCTGCTGCGAGTTAATTAAAAAGGAGGCTTTTTGCAAACACAGACCCCCAGTGGTTTCCACCTGCCCTCTTTCAATTTCCCTACCAAGTTTTCATTTTAGTCGTCTTTCCGTCCTGCTTCATCCCACTCAAACTCCCTCTGGTCTCCTTTGCCACATTGTTCGCTTAGTCTTTGCAAAATATGTTTGAGGTCATAGTTAACTTGAATGTTCTGGAAATATGTTTAATTTTGCTCTAGTTTTTGCTGTGTTCTTGAACTTTTTCCACTACAATAGATTGGAAATGATGACAGTAAGAGCAAAGTGTGGCTCGGAAAAACATCTGTAACATTATCTTGCAGTAGAAGCCATTCTACTCTCTTCTATGTATATAAAGTTATTGTATCCAAGCTTCTTCTGACCATAGTAGCACCAAACCAATAAAAATATGTGTGACTCATTGCTATGGAGATGAGTAGTCCCTTTGAAGCGATTGGTGATGGGCTTTGAAAAAAAAATGGGACAGTTCTTTTTAAAGGCAAAATCCCTTCAAATCTCAAAGACAATAGCTTCTTCCTGTAAAGCCCCCATCAAAGCTCCGTAAGTCTGAAATCTGTTATCTATGCAGCCATATGGGCGTCTCTCAAGGGGTTTCTATACAAACCAATAAACACATCTCTTTTTACCCGTTTATTTTTGTACAGTTTGTTTTGTTTTCCTGAGCGTTTGCAGTTGTAATCAAAGCCTTCGTTCTGCTCAAGTTTATTTTTATAACTTATTTTTAATCCATTTATCTAACTACATATTCAGTCTCACTGATTGTTTTAGGATGAGAAAAGCGCCTGTTTTTAGTATTTACAAGGCTCATTACTGTTGTTCTCATGGTTTTTGTTCACACAACAAAATTAGAATATACCTACATAGAAATAATTATTGTATGTGTGATAACAGCAATTTGATCACTTCCTATGTAATTGTTTAATTTTTTTAAATTAAATCACATTAATCTATTATTTTTCTGTTATCTTACAGTGACCTAGTGCTTACAAAGTGAACTGCTTTTTTTTATACAGTACAAGTGGATGTCGACTGTCCATGTTCAGACATATTGATCAGTTCCTCCTGTCTTGACACGTTGTTAATAACACCTGTTCAGGTCAAAGAAGGATAATCGTATTTACTCAGCGATGCTACAAGCCAGCAAGAATGTCAATAAGTAACAAAATTCATAAAAATCTGTTCCCTCTGCTTGTATTTTCTGAAATTTAAACTAAAAAACAATGTCAGTAAAGATCAAACTTTATGAGAAAACATAAAAATTTTAGATGACTTTTTAAAGAAAATGTTAAATCCTCAGCTGAGTGGGAAGGAGAGGAAAGCATAAAAAATAACTGAAATTGAGTTATTTTCCTAATTTGTTCAAGCTTTTCTGAGTGCTGCAGCACAGCTCGCTGCCAAAGGACATTGGAAAAGCAGCTGTCTAAAACCTTTCGGTCAGAATTTCTGAAGGATGAGAATCAGTTGGTCCATGTTAAAAGTTTTTCAACTTTTTGGACATTTTCTGAGTTTCAAAAGTCACACATTTTCAACTTCTGAAACTCAGATGTCAAAATTATTCAACCCTGCGATTAACTGGCAACCAGGCAACCAGTCCACTGGAGATTGGCCCGTGTCGACCACGATTCATTCACTCCTAAAACAACATTGTATCAAGCATTATAGGTCCATTGTCTTTCGCAAATGTCTAACTCACAAGCAACTTTTCAGCGAGAAACAGGAGTCAATAATTCCTTAATATTGATGAAAAAGTGCGTGTTACATTGGCAGATTATTTCACCTCTTATAAGACATTTTCCCCATGTTTTAAATGAAATAATCTGCTAATAAAACTAGTCAATTTGTGTCAATATTGAGGAATAATTGACTTAAACAAGCTCATATTTTTTGCTGATGAGTTAGTTTTGTCTTATTTCAGATATTCTAGAAACGAGACCAAAGGTACTTGGTGAGATTCAGTGTTTTTGCAGTGTTGGGATTGAAATGGAAGGATGTCGCTGTTTGGTGCAGCTTTTCAAATTAAAATAATCTCAGTAATAGTAGGGTGGTTCAGACCTGAAGCTGTTTGTAGAGAAAAAGTTCTGAATTTATTCGCCGTGTCCCTCCCAATACTGCAGTATTACAAAACATATGGTATAAACTTCGACTTTAAAGTTTTAGGAAGTTTCGTACTTTTGCCATTTTATCCCAACTTTTGTCAGATTTCCCCAAGGCAACTTAACCTAACCGCTCTCTTGCAAACATATCTTTTCTCCAGTAGCAAATATTCTAGTTCATAGACAAAATCAATATGTGGAGAAATTATTTCCTGTTACTTTTTGCCTTCACTTCTCGTTGATGTGTGCTGAGTTTGACCGTGTCGTCGTCCTCCGGCAGAGCCTGGGAGAACGGGGAAAGCTGGATTTGGGGGTCTGGGTGAAGATGAAGGCTCCCGCAGCGACTGCCTGCCCTGCCAGCAGGGCTGTGCTTTCTGTAAAGACGACTCTCCCTGCGTGGCGCTGGAGGACGGCGCCCTTCGCTTGGCGGTGCTCTCCTTCCAGTGTCTCTGCATGCTGATCGTCTTCATCAGCATGGTGCTTATTTACCACTTTCGCAGGAATAAGGTAGGCGTAATCAGCTCCTCATTGGTCGTCAGGCCACCAGAGCATTGAATCTCGGCTCAAAGGAAAGACCAAACAAAAGTTAGTGTGCAAAAGTCTTGAATGATCCCTCACTTCTTTATTTTGTCTCAAAAAGCAAGACTTTTCTGTAAACCTTCAAAATAACCTTATTAATATTTTAAAATGCTTTGTTTTTAGTTTATGGAGGTAAAGTGAACAATTCAGAAAATTAAATGGCAATTAATATTTGGGTTGCACCGATTTCAGTGCTGATCCTTAAAAAGCCGATCCTGATTTTTTTGTTTGTATTGTCATTAGAACTGTTTTCTTAACAAAATGTAAACACAAATGGAGTAATGTCAGATTTTAGCGGTTGTAGGATTTCTCTTTTGTCTTTGGTGCGAAACCACGAGCCGTTTCTCCAGCTAGCGCTAGCTAGCACATTTGTTTTGTATTCTGTGTGAACAGAAAATATCACAAGTCAACAAACTCAAGAACTGATTTGGGGCAAAGTAAGTGAACTGCAGGTAAACACATGAAGCTCAAATATAAATTTTTATTCATTTTTTGTTAAGACAAAGCAACTTTGCTGAGATGCATTCAGCTAATTTGATATGTGGCCAAAACTGGAAAAGTGCAAAATGACCTGAAAAAACAAAGGTTTAATTTCTGAAAGCATCTGTGTTCCCGGAAATAACTGACTTTGAGTTTTCTTTCCATCATGACGACTTCCACACTGAAGAGTGTTGCGTTAGTATTTAGCTTGGTGCTTACACTTCGGCCTTTCAAACCTGCCAGTCAAACATTAATTAGACAATCATAATCAGTCAATACTAGACAAATTATTTTGTTAAAGAATCTTCTTTAAATTGAAATAAAATGAAAATGCAAAACTTTATTATTAAAAACTGCTTCCGTTTCCGCATTATTATTTACTGTTGAATCTTTTTACAGAGTTTTGATAAAACATTAAAATCTCTTTGTATGTTTTATTTTGACTTAAAATAAAATAAACATCCCTCATGTAGCGAAGAGAAGTCGGGCTTCACTTTTCTTTTCTTTTGTATGTATTTTTAATTTGGTGGCACAGCTGTATTCCTCTCTCTGAGAGCCCCCTCAAGCATCTTGTCAATTAGAGGACACAATGTTACAAAAATATATTACATAAAGGAAGAACAGGACGTGCCCGAAATGGTGACTCATCAAAATAATAATAAAAAAGCTTTAAAGGAAGAGCTTTTACGATACTTTATTCTTTTTTATGCACAGTAATAAAGAGGCAGAAAGTTTTTCTTTCGTGTCTTTTAGCTAAACTCTGAAGGCATTTGGTAAACCAGTTCGATTTAAGATCACAGCATAACTTATTAGGGTTTTTAGGCAAAAAAAATATAATATATATATATATATTTTATTAAATCAAGAATTTGATTAAGGATTTGTCACATACTAGAGTAGATTGTAAAAATCTTTTTATAGTCATCCAAAAAAATTTCACAGAGATCATGACTTCAACCATACAAGCAATGAAAAACAATCAGAAAAACAATAAAAACACTTAAATTAATAGGACAAATCTGTCCAGTTGCTTATTAAAGATAACTTTGTGCAATATGTTTTTTAAATTATGGATTTGGAAAGATAACATGTTTTGTTTTAACATGTAAAGTCAAATAAATGCCATTGCCATTAAGAGTTGTTTCACTTTTATTTTCCTTTTGTTTTGACTCATCCTGAAGAAAATAAGCTTAAAACCTGTAATATGTTTTTCTTTTCCAGAGCATCAGAGCGTCAGGCCTGGTCCTCCTGGAGGCCATTCTCTGCGGAGCGATCCTGCTCTACTTTCCGGTAAGACGCTCCTCGCAAACATCTCTTTTCATTTGTTTTGAATCAGGACAACCTGGAGTTTGTTGTTTACTCCACAGCACACATGTCAAACTTGAGGTCCAGGGGCCAAATCTGGCCCGCCGTAGCTTTTTATGTGGCCCACTGAACTCCAAATTATGCCAGTAAATCCGCAGTTTTTCACAAATCCACAAAATTCAGGTAAACTCATCAAATCCCCACATTTTTTTTCCTGATTTACTGCAATTTATTTCTCAAAATTGACCAAAAACTTTGGGTGTAAGAGTCTCCTCCCTCAGCTTTACTTGATGTCAAGTGGTTGATACTCCAGCTAATGAAAGTCACATTTAGCATCATACATTAGCGCAAAAAAAATTCCTTACAAATATTTCTAAATCAGCACCACAAATTAAAAACAGTCATGAAATCCTGGCTGGACTGACCAGTGTGAAAAAATGATCGATGTTATTTGATCTTATGAAACACTGAATGCTGAAACAAACAGCTGTTTCTTGATATCTTAACCGTTTAATTGGTTTGATCGATACATTCTGGTACAACCGGCCCTTTAAGGACGTTCACATTTTTGATTTGGCCCAAATGAAAATTTGTTTGATATCTGCAGGTTTTCTGCAACCAGAAACACTTTCAAACTTTGTCTTTCACTGAAGAGAAAACACATTATTCAGCTTTTGTATTCCTGCACGTCTGATTCTGTGTATGAGCAGAGAGTGAGTGTGATAGAACAGAAGAGGCAGAAGCAAACATCCCGCGGCTTGTTGGTGACCCCCTGCCTAACATACACCATCAAGTCGCCATCTGTTGAAGAGCCTCACATGCTGCCTCACAGTTAATCACACAGTTTCTTCCTTTCACTGTGTTTTCATGCTTTTTGGACTCCTTAATTTAGGAGGTGTTTTAATTAATTAAATACAGACACGTTATGCCAACCACACACAGACATTTTCTGCCTCCTAGAAAGTCAGCAGTGGGTCTGATCTTAGATAAAAACACTGAGATCTTTCATTTCGTATTTGGACGACACGACAGGAGACATGTTTGTTTAATACTTTTGGTGTACGGAAAGTGAGACGTTTCATAGACCTCCCGATTGTTGAACCATATTTGAGAGAATAGCTTCGTTACCTAGCAACCCAAATGGAATTCCAGCATGTTTGGTCAACTGGTGTTACCACTGTATGTACGGCACAATGGCTGCTGGAAAAGAGGGATGTTTTGTTGTTGTCTTGTCATCCAGAAACCACTTTCTTCGTTCTTGCTGGTTGCGCAGGAGGCTCAACTTCTGCTTTTCAAAGATGTACGGTTGTCTTACATGAGCATCTATTTGCTGCCATTTTGACATGCGAGTTTAAATCTCAGCTTATTTGGATTTTAAGTGACAAGATGCCCTAAAACATCTGATACTGATCATTAAATAAGAGAAAAACAAAATGAACATGTTTTGTTTTCCACATAGATCTATGTTAACCTGTGTAGGGAAGCACAATAGGTAACCTTTCAAGCATATTTGGTGTTTGAACTGTTAAAACAGACAGTTTTCGGTGTTTTCAAGTTTTACTGTGGTTCCACCGTATGTAAACTTGACCGCACTTGTTTCTGGCTTTAAGCAATTGATTCTGTAATAAAGTGGCTAAAGGATTTAAAAACATGTGTTAGGATTTCATATTAAGCTTTTAGACCTCTTCCTTTTGTCTCACTTTGTCCTATTTAAAGAATGTAATGATGCTTATGACAAACTGGGGGTTTATTAGGCACAAACTGAATTAATATAAAGTGTGAGTGAGTATAATTACTTTAAAAACAAATCAATTTGTGTCAATCAGTTATATTTCAAGCCGATCCTCTACAGAACCTCATCATTTCTTCAGATGATTAAGTTGAAGAAAAACCCACAAACCCATTGATTTACCTTGAGCCACCATTATATCTTCCTCTTTGGTGCTCAGGGAAATGGATAATTGCAATTTAGTTGCAATCAAGCAGAGCCGCACGCCTCGTGAAGCGATACAAAGTAAACGTAATTAAAGCCAGCTGATTTAGAGCTGGCTAATCAATGCAATTTGCAGCGACAAGGTCCTGGAAACTGGTAATGTTTAAGATGTGCAGAATGAAAGTGAGCCTCGGAGCCATGTTATTGCTCAGCGAATGAATGAAAGGCAGATATTTCTGTTTCCAGCTGGCGTAGTGATGGCAGTGGCTGCTAAAAATAGAGGGCTTGTAAAGGGTTGAGCTTCACTTTGTAGATTAAGTCAGATCTGTGGAGTGAAGGCGTCCGGATTCGGTTTGATCTGCTCTGCTGAAGTGGTCGCCGTTGCTGATCTCGTTTCCTCGGTTCAGTGTCTTTGCTCGACGCTGGGCCGCGTGCGGCTCCTGTGCATCGCACACAATCCAAAGCTGCAAGGGGCGAGAAGCTTCACTCTAAATATAGATCCTGAAATATTCCTGCAACCCTGCTGCTGCTGCTGCTTCCATTTTAAATAATTCTGCTGTTATTAAGCAACTGGACACGCATGCTGGTCCTACAGCTTCTTTCATATCAGAGAAGTGCTTTTAATAACCCCAGAACACTGCAAAAAGTCTTGATGTAGAAACTACATCACAAATACTTGATGTAGTTTCTAGTGCAAATATCTTAATAAGACATAATTTATTTACAAGTAACCTTTCAGCAAGTTGTTGACCGTTTGTAATTATGTCACTCAGTCATTCCAAGTCGGAAGTGTTGAACAGAGCGACTGAAATTGTTTTCATTGGTGATTTTATTGTTTATTTGGCCAATTGTGTGTTTTCTGATTGTCTTGTACCTTTGGTTTTTAAATTGCTTTGTAAATAAATGAACAAATAAATGATTAATATAAAAAGATGTTATTTAATTTTAAGAAGTATTAATTTTCTATTAAATGGTTTTATCAGTACATCTGGCCCTTTAAGAACAGTCACAGCCCAAAATAAAAAGGAGTTTGACATTTTTTCCCTAGAGAGTTGAAAGACAGTAACTACCTGGAAGGTGCATTTCTGGGTTATTTCAACGTCAGAATAAAAAATAAAGAGCCGAGTTTCCCGTTGCGTCTCTCTGAGCTGGATGGAAATGTCTCTCCGGATCGGAGCGGCGATGAGGAGGGGAGGGAATTGCGACTCGGCTCTGGTCTTGCCTTGAGCAGAGGCCAAGCTGGATGTAATTTACACTCAGCCCACCTCAGGGACCAGCAGGAGAAGAAACCATTACCTCCCTCCAGAAAGCCGGCCGTCCCATGTGGCAGGGAGTGTCAGCTTTCATATAAAAATGGATCCTTCGCTATTACAAGATCCCACCTATCCTTAGCAGCATTCCCTCCTGCTCAGTCGCACCGGAGGAGCTCAGGGAAGAAGAAAAACGCAATGAGTGGGAGATGATGTCCACAGAAACCGTCTCCACTCGGTTTCTTCATGTCAAAACATTAAAACTAGCATCAAATCTTTTGCTGTGACAGAATGATTCCCAGATCTGCTGTATTTCTCAGACGGAGACAAATTCCCCCTCGTTTTTATATATCTTTTTAAGCTGGTTGTAGTTTTTGATGACAAAAGGCTGAAATTCAGCACCGTCTGATGTTCAGCTGCTACTGCGAACCAGAAGCGGCGAGTTTACTCTGCGTCACAGACAGATGACTCACGGATGATGTTTTTATTTTGGCATTTTCATTTTAATAAGTGCTTCGTTGTGAAGTTGCTCTCCTGCTCATCAAGCTCAGCTGCCAGTGGAGACAATAACTCCATTCAGGCCATAATTTTCAATTTCCACGCTGATTGAATGACTAAATGTGGTTTAGCAGAGTTGGAAACTATTACTCTAGAAATCCAAACCAAAGACAATAAATCCATCCATCAGTTCAACGCTTATTCAAAAATGCTTTTAGACAGTAGGACTGGGCCATACATGTCAATAAATTTGGTTTTGAAGATGCATTTTAAGAAAATCTGGATGTTTTTACACTCTGAGTTGCCATTTGCATGTTTTACAGCTTGAACTTTGAATTCAAGTCAACTCTGCGATGTAGAAGTGCAGAAAAAAATTTGTGAATCCAATTCAAAATGCTCAAAAATCAGTTTTAAAATGTGTTCAATTTGTATGTTTTTGTATTTATTTTTGAATTATTGGTGAATTAAGTCAACTTAATACTGGTAATTTAACTCACATAATTTTATGCATGAATCTTTAGTTGTTTGAACTGATGGAATTGTTTTAAATTAACGTTTTATTTGTTTACTGTGTCTTAAACTGAATCTCTAGACGGTTTGAATAAAAAAAATGTTTTTTGGATTGAATGACGCTAAAAGATTTGCAACTCCAGAGATAATACTTCATAATTAGTAGACATAATTCACATTTTAACACATCATCATCAAATTATTGTCAGTAGCAGGAATTTGAACAATCTTGTAAACTACTATTTACTTCGATGGAAGAATTAAACACATAACTCAGATTTTTCTCATTAAATCCATGTTTCCTCGTAACTTTTTGCTTGTAATTGTAAATTTTTTTTCCTCATAAAATTTTATTGATTAATAATTGGATACTAAAGACTTTCTGGATGTAATTTGAATCAGGTGAAGCTAAAACTTTTCCTCTGGAGGAGTTTTGACTGAAACATATTTAATGACAAAAAGTTTTTTAAATCAAATGTTTGTTAAATTTTGGATTAATTACTTACTCTAATTATGTTTGTCTTTCAGAAAATTGACTTATTTGGAGTCTGTAAACTCTATTTAGCGATTAATTGATTGCTAAATTAGTTATGGGTTATATTGACAACCGATTAATCACAGTTCATCTGATTAATCACAATTAATCTGATTAATCGTTTGAACCCTGCAGACCACAGATTGTGTTTGGAACATAGATTAGCTGTCAAATCAAGAGCTTTACTGAACCAATCTATCCACCTATTGATCTCCTATTGATCAAGACACTTGAACCACTAACACTTCAGAGCCACTTC